ATTAAGGCTATGTCGCTGGACTCCCATGTAGTCGACTGCAGTTTGAGTCCCAGACCTGGTGGCTTAAACTCACGCTGGGTGCGCGTGCGGGCGTGCCCAAGATCCCAAGAGGAGAATGGAGAAGGGATTGTGGCATGGCCATCCCCTCTGGGGGGTGATTTCTTGTTTTCTGTCTCTAGCTGTCTTTCTGGCGAACGCATGTGCCGTATAGCAAAAACCTATCCAAAAAAAAATGTTTTTGAAAAAAAAAAGAAGTATGTAACTAGTGGCCACCCTATTGGATGCAGCAGACCATGTCTGCCCCCCCACCCATAGCCTATGGCTTCACCCCCCTTGCCCCTGTCCACTTCCACGGGGAGGGGGGGGGGCGGGGGGCTTCCTCCAGTTAGGAACGCCTTTTGCTCGGTCCCAGACTGCTGACATTCACCTTCCCATGTCTGGCTAAGTCACAAGATATAACACCTCTGATCCTCTTTGCCATCAAATCAGAAACCCAGCTTCTGCCAAGTTGGTCATAATGAAGGTAAATTGTTCTTTCGGGGAAAGCCCTTGGCAGCTGGGCTGGTGGTGGTGGTGGAATGCGCTTTTGAAATCCTGCCACAACTCAGAGCTCCCCTTGGAAGCCACATTCCACAGCGGGGGTCCCGTGACTCAGCTGCATTAACATTACACAACCAAGGTACAGGAACCGCCCTATCCTCTCCATCTTCACTGCAGACTTCCAGTACTGGTTCAAGCCAGGGAAAAAGAATTTGAAGAATGAGAGGGTGGTGGGTAGAATGGGATGCATGCCAGTGAAGGGTAATAGGAAAGAGATCTGTGAGGGGCCTCTCAAGGGGGCTGGCTGAGCTGCAGATCCTGACCCTGGTGACCTTGAGGAGGGTATGATGGTGGAAGCAATGAGTGGACTGTGCAGCCTTAAAAGAAAATAGAGGCAAGGAAATGTAGATTTAAAACTTTATTTTTTTTGGGGGGGGGAGGTGTTTGCTATAAGGCACGTGCGCTTGCCAGAAAGACAGAGACAGACAGAGAGACAGAAAGCGAAAAATCACCCCCAAGGGGGGATGGCCACACCACAATCTCTTCTCCATTCTCCTTTCAGGATCTTGAGCACACACGCACATGCACCTGGCATGAGTTTAAGCCACCGGGTCCGGAACTCGAACCGTGGTTGGCTACATGGGTGTCCAGCGACATAGTCATTATGCCAACTGCTGGCCCCCTAAAACTTAGATTTTAAGTTTATTCATTTATCTCTTCCATGGGCAAGAGAGACAGAGAGACACACACTGATGCACAGAGACAGCAGCTGGAAGAGAGTCCCAGTGGCGATCCACTCCCAGCCTCAGCCAGCTCTGGGTCATGGGCATGTGCATGCCTGGTGTACCCAGGAAGCTTTCTAGATGCAAACCTGGAACCTTCCCATGTGGACTGGCCTCGCAGAGCATCTCATTTACTGCTGTACCACAATCCAGCCCCAAGACTACCCTTTTTTTTTTTTTTAGAGGTTTTTGCTATAGGGGGCGTGCACTCGCCAGACAGAGAGAGAGACATAGAGACAGAAAGCGAGAAATCACCCCCCAGGGGGGATGGTCACACCGTAATCCCTTCTCCTCCATTCTCCTCCCAGGATCTTGGGCATGCACGCACACATGTCCGGCATGAGTTCTAAGCCACCAGGTCCAGGACGCGAACCGCGGTCAACTACGTGAGAGTCCAGCGACATAGCCATTACGCTCACTGCTGGTTCCCGAGACTACCCATTTTTAAAGTTTTCTATGGAGCCAGCAGGTGTCATGGTGATTAAGATGCTGGACTCCCACATGGTCCACTGTGGTTCAAGACCTAAACCTGGAAGCTTGCTTTCTCACTCTCTCACTCTCTCTCTCGTCTCTCTCTGGTGAGTGCATGTGCCCTGTAGCAAATTAAATAATAAATAAATAAAATTAAATGATTCTAAAATAAGTTTACCATCAAAGAGAAGTAATGAGGTATCTGGAAGAAAAAAACTACAGGACTTGCACTGAA